CACGGCCCCGCCCCTACAGACCACGCCCCCGGCACGGGACACGTCCTCGTGCAGGCCACGCCCCCAAGCAGAGCCACGCCCCCCGCGCAGCAGCTGGGGGGCTCCTCTGTCCCGCTACAACCCAATGGAGCCCAGTACAGCCCAGTACAGCCCAGTGTAACTCAGTACAACCCAATGGAGCCCAGTACAGCCCAGTACAGCCCGGTGTAACTCAGTACAACCCAATGGAGCCCAGTACAGCCCAGTGCAGCCCAGTGTAACTCAGTACAACCCAATGGAGCCCAGTACAGCCCAGTGCAGTCCAGTGTAACCCAGTACAACCCAATGGAGCCCAGTACAGCCCAGTGCAGTCCAGTGTAACCCAGCACAACCCAATGGAACCCAGTACAGCCCAGTGCAGCCCAGTGTAACTCAGCACAACCCAATGGAACCCAGTACAGCCCAGTGCAGTCCAGTGTAACTCAGCACAACCCAATGGAGCCCAGTACAGCCCAGTGCAGTCCAGTGTAACTCAGCACAACCCAGCAGAGCCCAGTATAGGCCAATATAGTCCAGTATAGCCCAGTATAAGAGAGTATAACCCAGTACAGCCCAGTATTTTCCCCAAAGGAACCAAAACCAGGTGGTTCAGTCTGAGGAAGGGGAACAAAGAGCAGCACGTGGCAGCAGGGGGATGGGGGGTAGGGATGGGGGGTGGGGGGGAAGAGGTTTGGGTGTCCCAGGGACCCCCCCCCCCAGACTCCGGGGGGGCTGTACCTGCGGGTGACCCAGCTGTGTGGCCTCGTACTCTTCCCAGCCCCCCGGGGACCCCTAAATCGGTCCAGGCAGATGCTTTCCCCACCCACGTCACACGGAGGTGGGCGGGGCAGTAGTGAAAAGAAACGATACCCCAAACTTCCCTTTTCTAACCCCCAAATCAGCCAAAGCGAAGGTGGTGGCACGGTGGGAACTTGATGGGGAGCGGGGGTTCCCCCTAAACCGCTGGGGGTGGGGGGGCGAGGGGTCCTTGGGATGTGTGGGGGATCTTTGGCCCTGAAGAAG